GTCTCCCTGCCGTGCGGCCGGCGCGCCGCTTCACATGCGGGTCAGGGTGGTCGTAGGCCGGCCCGCGGCGCCACGCCTCTCTGTCCTGTAATCACACAAGCTCGTCAGGACGCGCACACACACACTCACACACACACTGCAGCCCACTGCACCGCCGCGGGTCGCGAAACAGTGGCGGCTGACCAGCAGTTAGGGGGCAGGAGCAGCACAAGTGTTCCGCTCCGGAGGACAACGGCGGTGTTGTGCGTGAGGGGCGGGGCGGGGCGGAGCGGGGCGGAGCGGAGCGGGGCGGGAAGTGCAAGTGCATCCCATAGTCAGTCACGTCAGTCACGCAGCGCAGCAGAGCGGTATTGCGCAAGGGGATGAAAGCTGCACGCACCAAGACCAAACGTATGATATGGCGGACCACCTGGGGGGGGGGGGGGGGTGGGGGGTGGAACACCTGCGGGGCGTCAGAACACCTGTGGGCGTGCGAGCAGAGCAGGCGAGAAGTCGTGTATACCGAGGAATGATGATATGAGTCACACCTTTACAGCGAGCGAAATGACGATGAATATTCAAACACGACAGAGCGGCGCGACAGTTTCGAGAAAAGACGATGAGAGATTACAGTATTTGATTTTATCATTTTTTGTTTTCGATTATTTGGATGTTGGTTTTTTGGCACGAGCAGGTGGGCGTCGTATGGGATGGGGAGGAGGAGAGCAGGATGTGGGCAACACTCGGGCCTGGTTACCACCACCGGGCGCCACCACCAGACCAGGGCACACCTTGGAGAAAGGTGCCCGGCGCGATAACAGCTGCGCTCATGCATCCCGTCGTCCTAATCTCATTTCGAATCGCGGGCGTTCGTATCATCCTGCGCCCTGAAATCTGGACCTCCAAGGTTGGCTTACAGGCACAGGCAGCAGGCAGCTGCAGCTGGTGCACAGCGTGCCCAGCTAATCCAACTGTGACATGTCACCTGTGTTTTCCGAAATCGCTTCGATGCCCGATATCATGGCCCGCTTCGCAGCCGTGGGCAGCGCGGGTGCGGGAGGTATACCGGACTCGAGCTGGACGACGACCTCCAGAGGCGCGCGCCCCTGCTCGCGATGCCCGCGGCCGACGCGGGCGCGAAAGTGACATTGCCCGGCTCGGACGTTGATCCGCCCCCCCCCCATACACGCGCTGCTACCGTGCGGAGTCATGCGAAAAAGAGGCAAAAACAAATCAGCAACAAGGGTATAAATCGGCGGAAAATCGATTGTCCGGCCGTCACACGCATCAGATCAGGATCAGGGCGAGCGGGAGCGGGAGCGGTGGGGGCGACGTCGTGGAGGGTGATGCAAACGACGCTATGGGGGGGGGGGGGCGCCCCTCAGAGGATCCTTGCGGCCCGCTGCCCCGCTGACCGAGGACGCCGTGGCCCTCGTCGAGCTGGGCCTGCCGCTCAAGCGATTTCACGGGGAGTAAGAACAAGTCATGGGTACCGGGCGCGAGGAGGGTAAGGCTGTTATCGCGAGCGAGTTGAGTCGAATCATCTTTAGACCATATACTCGGGAGGAAGGGTAAGCGGGTGAATCGGAAAGGGGGGGGGGGGCAGATTCGGCGCCTTGCCGCGGTGATTCACAGTCGGAGCGCGCAGCTCCTACCGTGTAGGTACACTGCCTCAGGGAGGCAACTCGTCATGACACGGTATTTGATGGTGCCTACTACTCATACGGAGAACATTTCGAATAAAATAAATAAATAAACAAATTCGTACCTGGGGTACATGAGTGGGAGGAGGGTGGACGGCGGCGAAATGGCCTTTTGTCGGACCGTACCTACATGGCGGTCACTTCCGTCAACCACTGTACGCTGCCGATGTGTGTGTGTGTGTGGGGGGGGGGGAGATCTGTTGTCCTGTCAACGTGACGCACACGCACACACACACACACACGTGGCCGTAAATATAGATGCACTACTTGCCCCGGATAAGGCGAGTCTGTTTGGGCAGCGGGGCGTGGCGCACACGGAGCTGTACACTCTGTCATCGGCCACGGCAAAAAAACATGAGCGAAAGAACTTGAGTGTATTTTTAGTTTGTTTGCGGGGGGCACACGGCGGCATGGGATACTGGAGAGGTCATGCGCGGTTGTTGTTCGCGTAAAGGGCGAGTGAGCGGCAGTTCTGTCTTGAAGAACCGCCTAAAAAGTGTACAGTAAAGTAGTGCACATGAGAGCCTCTGGGCCCAACGCGACACGCCGTCCTCCTCCGTCCCCCGGCGGCGATGATGTCAGCCTCGTTAGTCAGTCACACCGGGCCGTTGTGCTCCAGTATATTGTGGCTTTGTGTACAGACAGGCGCCGCGCCGCGCGCAGCTCCACCAACGCACCGCGGGCACGAGTCGGACCGGCCGGACCAAATCGGACGTTCCGCTCGCGACGTCGTGCGCGCGAGTCGCTCGCGAAGCAGTGTATGGCTGCGAGCAGGACGAGCGGGGCGGGGCGGGGCGTTCTACCTCACCAGCGGGCCTACCTAGACCTATCCTGGCGCGCTCAGTCACCGTCCCGCTCGCCCCGGGCCCGGGCTGCGGGGGGCCAGCATCCTGCCGACCTGCCGCGCGGCGCCCGCAGGTCGCACAGATTTTGACGGCCAAGGTCAACCTCTGGGCGCGGTGCTCCACGTCCACGGCCCGGGCTTGTCGTCCGCAGCACTATGCTGCTCCACGACCACGCCATCTCCGTCTTGTTATATTATCGTCGACCACCACCGGGCAGCGCCCCGCGCGCGCGCACTCTCGCACCACCACCACCGCCCCGAAAGTTTCGCGCCGTCGCTTCGCTCCGTCACGCCACAGCACGTTCGGCACGCACCGGGACACGCAGCAGGACTCGTCCCGAACTCGTGCCGAATAGCAGAAACAATCGCAAACGCTGGCCCCTCTGCTCCTCTCAAAGAAAAAGTACGACGTAGATCCAGGCTGTTTCGGAAACCTCATTATCGTTGAGGAAAATACACCAAGCAAGCGGAGACAATTATCGTTCTTTGAGGGGGAAGGGGGGGGGGGATAAGAGGCGTACCCGAGCCAATTTAGCCATCACACACGATCACACCATCAAGCCCGCTCCGCGAACAGCCCGGCCCGACAAGGACCTGACAATCGCTACAATTATTCCAGTATAATTCCTTCCACCACACAGCTCACACAGCTCGTCCTCTCCCGCGGTCGTCACCGCCTCGCGTGCCCAGCCAGCCAGTCATGCGCATAACCACCGGGACCCCAGTACATCGCTCACTTATTACGCACGTACCTTAAACGCACTTGCACACGTACTTCGCACGTGCTTACGCCCCTTACACCCGAACTAGCGCCGCGCCGTACTTGTCCGTACTTAAGCTCGTCCCGCCGGGCGCAGGAAGAGTTTGCTTGGCGGCGGCGGCTTCTGCCAGGAAGAGTTGTCACTCGCGGGGAGGACCCTGACCTGAGCCAACAGGAGCACGGCGCCGAGCAGGTCAAGGGCCTTGACTCAAGGCCGCGCCAAGGCCGCGGGGACAGCATCGCAGCAGCAGCGCGCCGCCCGCCTGTCCGGGGTGTCGCGGCGCGGGCTGTTGCTGCTGCTGCTGCCGCTGCAGGAGGAAGCGCCGCCGGCCGCGCCGCGGCTCCAAACGGCATGACCCGCGCGCTCGGCTTGAGCGGGCAAAGAATGCTCCCGGTGCTCTGTGCCAGGTCACAGGAGCGGCCACGTAACTCAACTTCCTGGTGCTGGTGATGGCGAAGCACGCTCGCCCTCGAGCTGATGGGTGCTCTGGGTATGTCAGTGAGTGGATTTATTTAAGAAGGACAGCTCGTGCCTACGACCTCGTCCGATTTGGCTGATATTTGGTGGACATGTTCCTCAATTGAATTGAAAAAAAGGCCAGGAAGCGTTTGGCCGAGAAAAATT